AATTTATTTCTAATACAATCGATTGTAAATAATTTGGTCAAAAATTACCTTAATGTCTAATTAAAATGAAATATTTCTAAAGAGAAACAACACTTCTCTTTATAAAAGTTTAATTTATAACTTATTCAGTAGAAGTTAATAAAAGTATGTATGTTAATTATTTACTTGTTTAAAGAATATGATAATTGAATTATGTTGAAACTGTGCACAATTATGTAAAAGAAAGTACCCTTTATGATCTACGATTTTCCGTGCAAATCTCTAGCCAATTTTAAGACCTGTTGATGTTCATGGCATCTTCATCGTGCACATGAAATACTACTTGATTCGGGGGTGATCGATAATGTAAGTGAACGAGTGTGGGCGAATTTTGCCAACCCTTCTGACCCAGAGGTGAATGAATGACGCACGACCTCGCCTCTCGCCACCTGCCATTAGTAGGTCTTCCTCCACTTCTTCTTGTTCCGCGATTGCGTGCGCGCCTAACACACACAACCAACCACCCACACAAAACCCATCCACAAGAAGAGCCCAGTTTCCGCGCCTGGCCGGGAAACAAACATTGGGTGACCGGGAAGCCCATCATCAGTGCACGTTGAGATTTTGTGTGTGCGGTTGGTGCGATTCCATTTAACTGTTTCCCTCGCCCTCCTCGAACGCAAATAATACTTCACGAAGGACGTACAGGAACAGGTGGATGGTTGGGATCAAATCCGAAACATTTACGCAGCTTCCTTCTTTCATCGTTTGTCGCTGTCCATGTTTTTCTTATTTCCGTTCTCGAATCATGCGCTATAGGTAATTTGAGCTCTGTTTTTTTAATTTTACTTTAGCAGATCGCTTCCGGAGTGTTCATGTTAGAGTAGATTAAATCTGGTTGGCTCGACGGCATCATCTCATCCCACATCTTCTGCTAACTGAATTCAACTATCCTGACCTCCCCTACTCATGGACTTATCGAAATCAATCAACTGTGTCATTCAACAGATCCACGCATCAACCATAATACTATGCCCACGTACGTGTCGTTAACCTCGGATGAACGGTCAAACATACTTTGTTATTAGATTAACATCTCTTCTTGTTCACCGAGGACTTGTTTTATTCTCATATGCAGTTCTATTAAATCAGAAATTTATTACTTTTTAAATATTTTAACTTATTAAGACACGCAATCCATTTATACGCCTATTTTTCCGAAATCTATGCCATTCGTGAAACTGTTTCTCGCGTGGCATTCATCGGAGATGCAATCAATATCCTGCATGCGCGTCATCTTCCTGGCCTAATTATTGCCTCCTTCCAATAATGTTAACTACACTCATGAAAATCCCACGAAGGCAATTAAACTTGTAAACTGTTAATTAAATTCAATTTATAAAATATTGTATTATTGATTTAAACTAGTTAACACGCATATTGCATAAAATAAACGTCAGTACATAATTATGTCCCAAATATATACTTATATCTAATTACTTAGAAATGACCTAAAATAGGCTTATTGTAATGAAAATAGATAAACAAACTTGATTTTCCAGCTGTAGTTAGGAAAAATAGATTTGTTAAATTCTCTGTAGATACATTTTTAATAAAATGAATCAAACCTATTACCGATTTCCGAATTAATTACCAACTTAGATAGTTACAAAATGAAATTGTAGATGAATATTTGTATATTTATTAGCAAACAATTTAGTTCCTTCTTTAATTTAGATTTGTTGACTAATATATTAACTAAAGCAAATAGTTTTTCGACATTAAGTTATATGTGCAATCTTTTTTATTTTTTTTTTATAATAACTTTGATACAAAGATCTTTAACTGAATATATTTATTAAAAAGATATATTCGAAATAATTTAAATATACATTCTATTAAATAATTATTAGTATTTTCAGCTAACACTACTGTCTTATTGATGAATATTAACACCTGTAAATAAAGTATACACAATTACCTTAAAAAAATGTTTTTACACACTTAGAATATGAATCTACGAATATTTTAAATTGAATGAAAGTTAATACATTTAATGTACTAAGAATTTAATTTAGTAGAAATAAATGAATCAGAGTTTGTTTAAAAAGTATTTGTTTGCATATTACAAATATTTATTTTTTGTCAGAAATAATTAAAACCAAGTTACTCACAATTTCTTAATGATTCAAATTATAGTAAATATTTGCAATGTTAATTAAACTGAATTTAATTATGAATATGACAAATATATATTTTAATATATTGTAGTCTACTATATTTATATTTGTTTACTCTAGGAATATTAGTTTTCTAACTTGTATACAAATGCCTGTTTCATCACGTCACTTTACAATTACTCCTCAGTTCATGGTAGAATAATGACGATTACTAACATTTTACTTAACTTTACTCACCTAATTGTCTAAACAATTATTCAAATATTTGTGTTAGCTGTTGCGTTTTATGATTCTACGTAAATTTTCAACTATATGGATGTAAACTATATCAATGCATTTTTTTACATATACAAATCTATTTTTTATTTATAAACAAATCAATATTTATTAAAAATATTGATATTTTTTATTTATTCAAATTGCATATTAATTACAAAACATGACGTAAACTTTGCAACTTAGGTCCATTGTTAGTAAAATAAATGTTTGTTTATTAACAAAAACTTTAATTGTTGTAAATTTGTTTGTTTCATAATATGTGGCATTATTTATAAACGAAGAAGGAACGTGACTCGATGATGCTTGTAAAACGCCCTTTGATGGATCACGTTGTCCTTTTCAGAGTGAGATCGTTACTCACATTATTCTAAATATAAAAAAGGTCACATGGTTCGACAAGATCATTTCCCGCTTAAATGACGGGAAAGATTATTTGAAGGATTACTTTAATAAAAAATGCTTAGTAATCTATAGAACAATGAACGTCATCTTGCTTAGCAACTGCACGAATCCGATGTGACATCCCAAAAAAACGTGACATCTCTGTTATTCGCGAGTCGAGTAAAAAGAAAATAAATAAAAAGAGAACAAGAACAGTTGTTTGCCGCCCCCGCATTTTTCCCAATGTACGTACGTAAGCACTTACGTTATCCCAGAGGCACGCGCCTTTCATTGCTTCTAAATATTGATTCATGTCTCCATGCGCCGACCATCCTTGTGCCCTACAGCTGATGCAATCCAGCAGACCCCAAATCAAGTTTGTTGTTCAAGGGACGGTTGCATTTGCTCGGGAAATGGTTGAAATCTAGTTGAAATCTAAATGGCTTGGTTGCATGCTGCTCTTTGCTACGTGTGCGCTTTTCTGTTGTTGTTTGTTTCTGTTGTCGTTTGGGATCGAGGGGGATATTCGTCCTTGGAATAGGGGAACGGCGGTGACGGCGTGGAATTAGGTCAAACATTCTGTCGTCGTCTCGACGCGTGGCGTTCGCGCGCCTCGCGTCCTTTCGCCGTCGTTTCTCATTTCTGTGTTTTCCCGCGTACGCGGAAAATCCTTTAGGTTTGGAAGAAGCGCGTTTCTTGCGGCGGAAGAGAGCGGAGGGAAGAAGGCCGGTTATCGAAGTTCGTAGCCGTGGCCGATATGAAACTGCAGATGATCGTTTTCGAAACAGGCGAAAGGTGGCGGAAGGCTTTACTTAGGTGAGAAAAAATACAATTAAAATTCACATCATCCACACAAATACCTTGAAGACCTGCATTATCGTTATTTCTCGTGCTGAACTTACCAAATTGCATATATTTATTATGCTTCTTGCCATGTTGCTTAAGGCTACACACTACATTAGATTCAAACTAGACACAAATGTAAACGTATTAAAGTACCTTCACTTGAAAGGTTGAGAACCTCTGTTCTTGAGCATCCATCTAAAATCGTTAATTTTACTAATTAAGATCAAAGTTGGCAACATACAAATCTCACATATAAATGTTTAGGTGTAACAAATTGCTATTCATAACAAAGTATATACATACAATCTGGGTTACAACTATTTTTTTTACACATACAAAATACAGGCAAAAGAAACAGTAACAATGCAAAATCCACGACATATTTTGACATTTATAACTTGTTTTTAGAGACCATCTTGTTATGTTAAAATTACATTTATACTATTTGTAATAAGAAATATTTATGAATTACGACATAATGTGATATAAGTCGAGGAGAATATTTATTTCCCTTATTAAATGCTATAAACAACAATATTGTAGTGCTTTTGTTTATTGTGTGCAAAATTTTAACAAAAAAATGATTATTCATAAAAATATTTGACATAAATTAATGGAGGCGAAAAATAAAAATGTTTAAAATGAACATATTAATACTTAAGAGTAACTTTTTTTAAAATTATTCTACTGATTATATATATAAATATTGACCGTCAAATTAGTATTTCTGATATCTATGGTAATCACTGACCAATTACAGGTCAAAAATAAGTTTTTATTTAAGATAAAAGTCTTTGGTATTATATAAAATTCCGAAATAAAGTACAAAATTGAACTTGTTGTGAACAATGCCTAATAGTTTTCAGTACTCTATACATTGCAGAATTGACGCATACATTTTTTTTTAGCATTGGCATTAAGTAATTGTTATTGTTTCTATATATGTTCTTATATAGCTTATTAAAATGACCTATAAAATTAATTGAGTTAAGTGTCAAGAATGTATTATAAACAATGTAGCATAGGAATTAGTAATGTGTAACGTCCTTATGCTCTAATAGAAGACGCGGAAATGTGAAGGTAACAGAGGAAATGATATTTGAAGGTGTGCGAGGAAAGTCTTTAAAGAGCATATTACATAGCAAATATATATATATAATATGATACTATGATTTTTATAATGTTTGTCACATAGAAGCGATCGTAATAAATGGTTCATCTTATGCAATGCGGTTTTACACTATCGTGTTGCATTTCTGCTGACAATCGCTGGAAAATTTTCAATTACTTTATCCAATTGTCCACAGTAAAGTTCTGCATTCACAGTTTGTCCAGGTTTGAGTCCTTCAAAATGAACGATTCCGCGAATGCTCCACAAAACACAAAAGACCGCATTTTAGGATGTCTTCTTGTTTGATTAACATGGATTTGCTTTTACGTCATTGTCTAAAGTTGTTAGTTTAAAATTACCGGATCTGAACTTAGACAACCACCTTTGGTATTTACAAACATCCAATGCACTTAGATAAATATTGCAAATGTTTTTGGTAATAACTATTGCTTGAAACTCAAAAACCATAGAATGTAAAAAAAAATAACATTTTATTATTTAGAAGTAAACATGACTTTAACCTTAAAATGTCTTTGGCACGGATTTTAAGTACACAATGAGCTGATAAATGATAAACAAATATTAACATGCGCAGAAACGACATTATTTTCCAGTCCCCCTAATAACTGCTCTTCAAAAGTAAGTAATATGTTTTTATACATATTTTTTAAATTATACATTATAATGATAAATTACGTAACATATGTTTATTCTATAATAGGATGCGAAATGACAGCATTCAAAATACATACATATATATAGGTCACCAAAAAGGTTAAGAAGCACTGTTCTATACCATCCTTAAAAAGATGTAAGTATCTTAAATATATAAGTTTTTTCATATACTTTGACGTTGCAAGGTTTCTTACATAAAAGTTCATTCCACTCTTGGATCAATGCGACCCGTATGACGGAAATTAAATTATTTTTATTGGTTCTATTGAACCCATAAACATACTATAATTCAATTAGTGCTTAAAATAGATGAGGGTAGTTCCACTTCAAATGAAATAATTGTATTGGTTTTGCTTTGTCACAAATTTCAGCTGTTTGTGTTCTACATAATATTATTATAAATTAATTAACGAATTTAGGACATTCCAATTTTGGATTTTATTCCAATAAATGTAAAATTATAATAATATTACTAAGTGAAACTAAGACAATATAATAATAACATTTATAAAATTACATAAATAAACTAAAAATGTATGAAATAAATGAATAATTGCATCCAGCTATTGACAATAGATCAATTCTCCGAACAAAATAATAGTGTACTTTGAGTTGTGACCTGAGAAATTACCAAAATACTTTAATTATTACTTGGAATAGATAAGGTTAGTTCTAATTAAAATTAAATAAAAAAAATGAGTTTATTCGAGAGTATAATAATACAATTCAGGATTTTCCAGTTTTCGCTTGTATCAAAAAAAATAATGTAATAATATCACATTTATTCTGGAAAACAAAAAATATATAATGAATTATTTTTAGTTACAATTTATATTCGTGAAATTAACAAAATGTTTAAGATGATATAATATAAAATTATAATAAGAAATATACTTTAGATTAACGTTTTCTGTAGATTAATTATAAACTATTTAGACTTACTATTAAGTTAAAAGTTAGGTTTATATTGATTTGTGCAATTGTAAATCAAGTAAATTTAAAATTGTTATTTTTGCATTCGTTAAGTGCAAGCTGTAAATTCAGCTATGAAGTATATTAATGTACTTAATATAGTTAATATATGTACATACGATTTGATTTTTGATTTAAATGTTCTCAAATAGAATGTAATTTCAAACAATTTAAGTTCCTGTTTCAACTAATGATAATATTTTTTTTTATTTATGTTAATACGTACATGAAAGATATTGTATCAATGAATAATAGTAAGAAGGATATATAATACGATAAATTATATGATTATCTAGAATGCACTAGTTGTGAGTTTTGGTTGATTAACATGATTTTTCAGAGGAGAAATCCAATCCATTCGATCTTCGAGTGTTTACAGTATTTTTATATTAGTTGTAAATATCTGAAACAGTTTGAACTTGAATTAAATTTCTAAAGCCTAATATTTGCACGCGCTAATCTGAGTTAAACTTGTGTGTAAAACATGAAATATTATTAGCAATATATGTTTTACTATATATAATATTAAAGTATGCTTTTCATTAATAAGTTTTTGTGCGTGGACGTATATATATGATAAGCCTGTTCTCTGCGCAAACGATAAAGAAGAGCGATTAGAATTGATATATGTTCTTCATTATCATTGACATGTCTGTGGATATTTCCATTTTTCTCATTAATTTCTGAATAGCTGTGATTCACGATTGCTAAGCGGCGCTTAAGAGCATGTACTCATTCGAAATCGCAAAAAGTGACTAACCGTTTTTCCTTGTATTATTACACTTGTTTTGGCTTTGCAAAACAGTTCCAGAACAACACTATGTGACCACTGCAACAACCCGCATTATCATTACCGCCATTCCGTAGCGTCATAGTGTAATAATATCCGCCGCTGTTTGTATAGTACCGTAAACATTGACCTGTGACCCTAAAAAACAGAAAGCAAAATATTGTATTGCAAAAGTATATATGTGTGTGAATATAAATAACAGAAATGAACTGCATCAGCTGATTTTCGGTGGGTGTGTACAATAGAGCTGCCTAAGTTTGTGCGTGAAAACTATTTATAATCAATCCAATTTTCAATAAGGATTTTAGGGCACGAAAAATATAAGAAAAATGACGACGCGTCTTAACAAAACGTAAGTAACTGTCGATAATTGTTTTTATTAGAATTTTGGTAAATAATGTAACCATTACGATTATATGCTAAATATAAACGAGGTTTGTTGATTCATTTATTAACTGGAAACGTTTCAAAGGAAAATAACTAATTATCAATGTAATTTAATTGTTTCCAATATAAGAATTTCAGATAATTATAAATTATTAAAAGAAGCAGAATATGCAGTAATTAATTATTTCATTTATTTATTTATTATTAAAATATTAATTGTCGGAATTTCCAACAATATGAAAATTTTGTTTTTACAATGAGTCATTCTTCTTCTTTTGTTAGGCATTTATCCAAATTTAATAATAGTTATCTTAATTATGTTTAAAATAACTTTATTATGTGCAATTCCTGTGCCAAAACTGTAATAGTTTTCGTTTTGTAGTTATTTTCGAACATTCGACGTATTGGATTTATTTATTTTCATATATATTTTTTGAAATATGTACAATTTTGTATGATTCCCAGTTTCCTTTGAGTAAATTATATATTATTTCATTCGCTGCAACACAAATATAATACTTATTTAAAAATAAACATAAAAATATATATGAAAAGGGCAATTCGATTTTTTTTTAAATCTAAACATTTCTAAATTTCAATTAATTATAATCAATAATTTCTCTTGGTGGCAATCTGCCAACTAATATCTCCACTATTTACAAGTTATGTTTGATTACCACCCACTTGTTGATGAGAATTCAACAAGAGGTTTATATTATTTCCATTAAAAACATTTACTTAAAAATTATAATTAAATTTACTTATAATATATTTTGTTTTGGTAGAAATATACTTTATAAATAAACCTATTTATCATAAATGTTTGATCTTTGAAGTAAACTATAGATTGTTATTTATCTGTGTCTATAAATGAATAACATTATGCATCTCTGACACATGTAGAAATCTTTTAATGTTCAGCTTCTGTATGATGTACGAATAAATTATATTCTGAAGAGCACTACGTTATATCGACAAAAATATGATTGAATTCTCATCTTAATCATAATTTTATCATATAAACTGTAATGTATCTGATAGTAATAATAGTGTATGTTTATAGATTTCCTTATCCACTTGTAATTGTCTATATCCATTAGTCATTTTTATTATATCAAATAACCATTTGGGGCACTCATACTAAACTTTCATTAGATAGTATTAAATTTTCTATGGATTCCTCTCAACGATCTTTTTAATTGGAGTTGATGAAATATTTAGGAGTCGTAGAAAAAATGATGACAGATGGTACTTTTCTACACATACCCTTTTTTCGGGGGGTCCTTTAATTTTTTTAATGCAAAAGGGGGTGACGGACCAACAAGTTTGAGAATAACTGTTCTACTGTAACCTTCTCCCATTCATTCTATAATTGATAATATACATATTTTTGTCCTGTCTATGATTGATCCCATCTTTTTTGCTATTTTAACATAATATCTGCATTGATATAATTTTCAATAGTTCCGCCAGTTCTTATAAATAATTTAAATTTCTTCATCAATTATAATGGTTGCGCCAGATATGTTATTGTATATATTGGGTGAATTAAAAAGTTTTGAGCATTTTGTCCCTTCCATCGAGACTAGACTTAAGACCAGTCTTATGCAAATGGTTCCAAATGGTTTTCTGGCTGATCTTCACTTTCTGGGCAATGAAATAAGTGCTCGACTCAACGATTTCCATGATTTTATCAACATTTTCGACATCCTTATTACCAGAACGGAAGCGGAAGCTGTTGCATTCGATACTGTATTTGGTCCATAAACAAAACATTTTTTGGCCGCCTGCTCCGCTTTTCTCCTTGGTCGTAGTGATATTGAAGAATGTATCGAATTTTCTCTTATTTTACCTCCATTTTCACACAACTGTTAAAGAACTTTTTTCAAAGCGTTATATCGCAGTATATAATGACAAGATGCAACTTATACATCGTGAGATATGGCTCACTAAAGCCATGTAACGAAAAACGCTCAGAACTTTTTACTTCACCTATTATTTTGCACGTTTTCTTTAAATAGAAATATGTTAATTTATTACTAGCATATTTTTATATATTCTGTTGAAAAATCCCTTAAATAGTAATAATAACGAAATCATATTACATACTCAGAAAAAAAAACATAATTTAACAAGAAAATAAAATACAAATTGATCAGCTTCAAAGAGCTAAAATTATTCATTTTTATATAATGTAAATTATATTAAAAATTTATTTAATTGTAAAGTCACAAGTAGTACCTTAATGTAAGCAAATTACTGAAGTTTTCTAATTATAAAATAAACTAAGTGCATGCAACGAAAACCTGCAAGGTTACAAAGTGAAGGTAAAAAAGCAGACAGCGCATAAGCTGCTAATAAAAATTGATCGCAAACATAAATCGGGTGAAATGAAATATGAGAGCGAAACCAGACATGACGAAATGTAAGTCTTTGAAGATTAAAGGTATATATTTATATATGTATATTTTTTATAAACGACAATTTATATATGATGACCAATCTGGATACTTTCTACAAGGACATGCATATTATTAAAGAATGTTTTTCTTCAGCCAAAAATATTTATATACGGAATTCGAATTAATTAATGTGGTTTCATTCCAATCGAATATTTCATGAAATTTGTATGTTGCTTAAAAGTCGCTAATTGAAAAAAGTTTAATATATACAAAGTTACAAGAAAATTTTAAATTGGAATTATATTTTTAATATTTATTTTTTAATTAAAATTCTGCTTTTACAAACAAAAAACACACTTCTTAGAAATTATTTTTATTTAGTTTTTT